TGAGTGACACCGAGGGCGAAGCCTGCTTTGGACTCCAGCGGCGGCGCGGCGCAGCGCGAGAACGGCCAGGCGCGGCGTGGCAGGAGAACGGCCGGGCACGGCGCGGCGCGAGAATGGCTGGGCGTGGCACAGTGCAGCGCAGCACGGCAGGAGAACGCGCAGCGTGGCGGGAAAATGGCTGCAGACCACGTCTCAGGCAGAAAAATGGCCGCGGACCACATGTCAGGGTGGAAAAATGACCGTACCCCGAGGCGGAGTTCGCAAATCGAGGGAAATTTTTGCGGCCGGAGCTGGTCGTAACCCGAAAAGTTCGTTAGTAGAGGCATTCATATCCTGAGGTACCACTGTACTTAAAGTTTCTTGTTGCTTTTTCATTTCCTCCTTTTCTTCCCCTCCCTTTTAGGATATTAATGTATGTATTCTTGAGAACTATCCTGAATGTTCCAATCCCAGGTTATTTTACATTATTCCATATTTCTGTGGACAGCATCCAAGATGCAGGTAATTACAAATTTACCTTTTCTTCTAGCTTTTGTCTTCTTAAAGTTCTTTCTTACTGTTCAAGGAAGCTAGGAAGGTTTAAAAGGTTCAGCAACTGCACCAAAGCTCCAAAGAAAGTCACACTCGTAACCTGAAGGACACTAAATCCTACAGAGCTTTAGATGGTCATATTAGCAAGCAGCCTGGGCCATAAGCTAAAAGACTGGGCAGTCAGGTTGATACCTGAATGTATACTTCTGTTGCTGTTTTTTTTTTTTTTTAATATCATGAATAGCTGGATGCAGAACATAGAAGTAAGTTTGACTTTTCTTTCCTTACTCAAAAACTTCTTAAGACTGTCTGTCTGTCGTCAGCTTACATTTGAGCCTGTACTTAAATGAAACAAAATATTGGAGAACTCGTTACTTATTTTACTTAGCAAAATACTTGCATCAATAAATACTTTGATTAGCTGCTTCTTTTTGTTACTTTAAATTACTGAATGTTATGCTATTATGCGAGCCCTGTGCTTTTCCTTTTCCAGTGTACTCTCCCAGCATTTTGGACTACTGCTGTCATCAGCTGTAGCCAGTGGAACCAATAGTTAGATGATGGGAGGGATACTGTAATCCAAATCATTTGGAGGACACACATTGTGGAAAGTTACCAATAGTGTGTATCAGCATCTCATCTTAATTACAAGGGACTCTAAAACATTTTAATATGGCTCTGAAGCCTTTATAGTTATCATTAAAAATTACTGTTGTTCCATATTTGGTGATTGATATCCTAGCAGGTTCTGTCATATTCAGTTTGAAGAATATCTTTAACATTTTTTAAGGGAACCTGGTGAATGGGCCCTCGAAAGAGCAAAAATGAATGTGAATGAAAATTTCCTACTCGTGGGCATTCTGGAAGAATTAGAGGATGTGCTGCTTTTACTAGAAAGATTTTTACCTCATTATTTCAAGGATGTACTCAGCATCTACAAAAACCCAGGTAACTCTCATGATATAATCACTAATTGTTTTTATTGCTCGCTAAATATTTTTGTTTCAGTGTATAATTCATAAATGCCACACATAACTTAGCATCCTGGATGAGCAATCAGCAAGTTGTAAATTCTTGCCTGTTTTTTCCCCAAACAATTAAAATATTCATTTATGCTAGTTATCCCAAACAGAGTTTTGCTTCAAACCATCCTGCCAGCAAGAAAAAGGAAAGTGGTATTCTCCTACCTTCTGCAATCCCTAGCGCTGTTCTTCAAAGTCCTCTAAACATCTGGAAGAGACTTTTGATGAACTAAGGGGAGGGGAGAAAGTAATTGATAAATACTGCTTTCTCTCTTCCACTGGCACAACTGACCACTGGATTGAAAGATTTCCATAGATAAAAAGAGCCTTTCTGTTCATGAAAAGATATTATTGAATCTGTTGTACCTTAGCTGGTTGATTAAATAACAATAAACTTCCATGTCTTCTGTGCATCTTCTGTATAGCTGAAGAAATGTAAGCGTACTGCATGGCTCAGAATAAAAGTTGCTGCTCTACCTGAACTCTCCTATTTATGAATTTAGCATATAATTTAAGAATTCTACTTATTTGGCATATAGATCAGTCATTGTCTGAAATGTGTACAATAATCATTATCAGACTGTAGTTGTTTACTGTATATTGTATTTGTTAGATTTTATATTTTCTCCAGGAGTTCAAGGCAGTGTATGTAGCCCTCCCTCCTCTAGTTTTCCCCACATCAACAACTCTCAGTTTGGGCTGAGAGATAGTGAATCCCCAAGGTCACCCATTGAGTTTCTGTAGCTAAGAATGGACATGAATCTGGGTCTCCTTTGTTCTAGACAAACACTTTAACTAGTACAATTCATTGGCATTCTCATATTCTTAATAGGCTACAATGGGACTGTAACGAGCTGCCACCTGTTGATCCCAAATCCAGCAACTTTCCTTGCAACCAATATTGATTCAAAAGAAAGTTCATTTATTGAGAATAAGTGTACACATCCAAAGCAGGGACTGTAACGAGCTGCCACCTGTTGATCCCAAATCCAGCAACTTTCCTTGCAACCAATATTGATTCAAAAGAAAGTTCATTTATTGAGAATAAGTGTACACATCCAAAGCATTGCTAATACTGATCAAAAGTGCGCCAAAAGCTGTTTTTCTTACTTCCCCCCCACATCGCCCTTAGTTCTTGGTCCTCTAATTCTCTTGCTGGTATGACCTTGAGCATGCCCGGGCTTGTGATAAGGGGCCATCTGCTTTAAACGGTTTCTCATTCCTACCCCCCCCCCCTTTTACAATGGCAGAACCGCAGCATGTAAAAAACTTTTTTTTTTTTTTTTTAAACTAGCCATCTAATAATCTATTATAAAATCTTGCGAGGATTCTGACAGGGACATCAACAACCTAGCCTCCTGTTTTTATCCAGATAGCTTTGATAATCATTTTGATAATAATAATATTATTAGAAAGAATAAGGAAGTAGCTGAAGTCTTGGTCATTTGTAAAATATATGCTTTTCTGGTTATTAATCATTCAAACTGTTGTTATAAAGAAAAAGAGGGTATACAAGAAGGAACATAGGTAAGCTCCAGATTGATACCCAGCACAATTCTGGTGGTACTAAAAGAAGGCGTCAAAACAGAGTTTTTCATATATTCTACTTGCCTGCCTCTCTCTCTCTCTCTCTCTCTCTCTCTCTCTCTCACACACACACACACACACACACACACACACACACACAAGCGCACGCGCGCACACACACACACACACTTCAGATAAAGTACAAACAGTACAGGTGCTATTATGGGCCTGGAAGAGGAAGAAGTAATCAATACATTCATCCCCCATCACCATCAGCAGAAAGCTTTTACTGGATCTCAATGGACAAAAGGAGATGCTCTTCCAGTAGTGGGATCAAGTCATCATTTTAAAGCAAGCTAAGAGATTGAAATATTGTGATGTTATAAAATAAGAGATGAAAATTATTCGATAAAATGTTTGTCATCCATTATAAGATTGTTTTATAGACGTTTCTAAGTAGTGAAATAATTGGTCCATTCACATGGAAACATGATGAAAAGCATACAAGGAAACATCACAACCAGTTTTTCTGATATTCTATATTAGAGATAGGGAATCAAACCCTGTTGTTGTTCAGTCATTAAGTCGTGTCCGACTCTTCGTGACCCCATGAACCATATCACACCAGGCCTTCC